TGTTCTGTTAAGTTCAGTGTGGTGTGTGCGGCGATGAAGGGATTTTGCGTTCCTTGCCTTGCTGGGCCTTACGAATCTTTGCGAGATTACCCGAAATCCATTTCCTGAGAATCTGCCTCGGTGGCTGGTATATTTACGATCTCGTAGCCAAGCTTGCTGCAAGTGAAGCGCGATTTCCTTGAGGTGTGCACGGTTCGCGGGAAGCTGTTCGCATACGTTTGTCTCATATGGGCGTAAGCGTATGGTTTTCCACTTCCTGTGGCGCCGGTCGACTGAAAGTTTTCAATTCGATCTGTGGTGAAAGGCGGCATTCTACATCAACTTATGCTACTGGGCTGATTTGAAAGTTCGTACGTGATGTTCAACGAAGGATCCCGGAGGTTTGCAGTATGTCCATGTTGCGAGGAAAGTCTTCCGCTAACGCTCTCTGCGACGTAAGCGTATGACTTTTTTCAGTATGTGGCGTACCACGTCGATTTCTTCAATTTGTGAAATTACGTAGCGTGCTTGTACGGGACACAACGAGTGGTCGCCGGCGTGGTTTCAGTGGAGTTCTGTATTTCTGCTGCGAAGATATCCCTTGCGCTCGTGTTTAGACGAGTTTCCCGGAGCCCGAGCTATGAGTTGCAGTGGTCTCACATCGTTCACACTCAAGCTGACGCTACCGTCAGTAGATGCATGAGCTGAACGGAATGTTTCAAAGGCCTCTGAAATAGCAGACGCTGAAAGTGAAGCAATCGCTGTTCGAGACCTGGTCCCCAACTTGTATCATACATTCCGTATGAGCCGATTTGCGGTTTCTAATTCCTCTGCGACCGTTACGGCGGACGAAATTTGCCCTTCACTGCTGAGAAAGTTAGTGTGGGTGCAAACGGCGTCTGCATGACCTTCACGTTGCTGAATTTATGATTGTGTGGCAAGTAATGGCTGCATAGTGATAAGATCGTGAACCACTTCCGGAATCGTTACGTATTTCACCGACTCTGGCAGAGATGCTCGCAGTAATGGTTAGCCTCTACATCGCGCTTTCGTGGCGTGAGATTTGATTCACGACGATTCGGAAGTTTTTACTGACGAAAATGAGAGGTTTGTCGGAAAATTCCAACGATTCGTTGAACTGCTGCTCCACGTCAAAATTGAAAATTTTCAATTGGGAAATGGCATGACTATGGCCTCTATCTTTGCGTAATTGCTAACTCCGAGGCCTTTATTGCGCTGGAAAACTCATCACGTGCTTACTGATTCTCAATGACTCAGAATCGCAATTGCAGTATTTCTGTGACATTCTTCGTGAGTGTATATGATGAGTAAACCTCATTCACCCAAAAATTAAAAAAGGGTTTATTTTTTAAAGCAGAAAGGAAAAAAAATGAGCATCATTACATTTCAGTGGTGAGCTGTTGGAGAATTTCGAGTAGGCAATGTCTTCTTTCTAAGAGGTAGTTACCCGTAAACCATGGCAGAACTGAACGAGAATGCGCGTCATACACAGGAAAACGTTTTTTTCTCGGAATTTTCCAGCCATGGAAGGATATAGGGTACTTGGTCCTTGCGTAAGTGTGTAAATAGAAGAGAGATGGAACGGGGTACAAATGGGTGGCAATAGCTGTCAGGGGAATCCGGGGAACAAATCAAATCGAGATTCTCGAAAAATTCTGAGTCTTTCTAGTTTAATTTTTTGTTAGAACCAGCGAAATTGTAACTCGGAACATTTCTTGGTGCGGAATACGATCGAAAACCTGACTAATTTGTTTATGATACTGTAATTTCCCCCCGATTTATTTCATTTTTGCCTTTTCTACCCGGTGTACAGTACAATACCATATGTGCATCTATATAGTGCATCTTGCCTGCTTAGTGTTCACTGTGTAGCCATAGATGTGCGAGAGAAAGTACATGTTACACACGCACTGCAACAGCTTCCGCGATGCCTTCTATGAAAAAAATAGTTATTTTGTTAAGACTCTTTTTAGACTTCATGGTGTTAATATTGTAAAAGGTTCTAATGGGCGGTCAACCAAATATATTTACTTTATATGCATGTATACTGTGCAGTCAACCCTGGATTTAGTGCCACCCTTGCATTCATAATGTCACACATTTCCCTGGCACAGATCTCCCTCAATTATGTTCTTAGGAGAACCTGGATTCTGTGCCCCGAAAAATCCTGTCCTGTTGAAAAATTGGGCAGAAATTGAAGTAATTAGGTATTTTTCAAGGATATCATTAGATTATAAGACTTCTGACAGAATCACATCCCCATGCTGACATAAAACAGGAAAAATGTGAAAAATATTTTTGAATTTACATTATTGAAAAATATTTCCTGTTGCATATCACCCTCATTGATTGGAACTAGAAAAATGTGGAAGCTTTTGTATTACAGTAGTAACATTGGTGATCCCTTCATGATGGCACTTCATGTAAAACTTCCTCAGATGTGCACAAAATCTTGAGAAATGGCTGTGATCATTTACTACACGTCATACGAGTATGTTCAACAATCTAATAGATTCTGCCTTGATATATATTCTGAATTAAATTATGAAAAATGTACCTTTTGAGTTTAAAAAAATATTTATTTTGGCTTTTTCTCTTATAAAACGCCCTGATATGCCTAAAAATTCTGTAAAAAAAGCTTATATATACAGTATCTACATGTACACACACAACTACAAGTTCTCATATTACCAATCATACCATGTCTGTCCTCTTCGCAACTCCTGACCCTGTCACCTGATGGCATTCAGTATTCTGTCATTTTACGTTTTTCTTCTCCAGCTTATCACTCTCCATGCGGGTGCGTCATGATGAAACTGAGCGTTTCTCAAATGGCTCAAGACTCCACTTTCTAGGTTTTCTCTCGGTGCATAGAATGCGTTGGAAGAATCGGGTAAATGATAGTGGAGAAATACTCTCACGAGTTTGATGGAAATTAAATTCCAGTTATCATAATCGCGTGGGATTCGTTAATAATAAATGTCAAACTTCGAGCTGTGGGAAAGCAGCTCAACTTCGACAAAACTCGAAAATAACAAAACCCAATAATTACATAATGCATTTAAATTGTGATGATCAGTTTTTATTCAAGTCGTTCGAAGAGTCAATAGTTGCTGATAGCTTTTTCACATATTCTTGACCTTTTGATTCTAAAATTTTTTTTTCAGAATCTTAGGTCAATTTTACATTACACTGCGTGAAAAATGATTACCGGTAATTCAAAATGATGACTTGAGCGTTGCATTCATTTTATATTGTGATGAACATTTGCTGTAGCTAGCTGAAGTTTAGAATATTCAGACCATTGGAGTACTTTATTTCTTGATATTCAGGGAACTTCTCAGCGCGGTATTCTCGTGTTCACGTAAAGTAATTATCAAATTTTGCCAGATGGCAAAATAAAACTTAATCGTCAAGTGACATTGTTTGTAAGTCAAGTTTACATCTGATTGAGTTGATGTTCCTGCATTTGGTCCATCTTCAATAGAAAGCAACATTGGACGCTGTATTGAGAAATCATGAGTAACAACCCGCGTCCGAATCATCAACGTATACCTTGATTCTCATTCATGCATGACACATGAAACTGATGCATTGAACTGGACAGACGATGTTTGCATGAAAATATGTACCTGTGACCGATTTTCTTACACGGGCATTTAATTCGGAAGAAATACTTCAGTTCAGCATTTGGGAATGGGTTATTTTGCTTCTTCTGGATCGACCAACGGCATTGTTCCTTTACACTGTACAACCTGCTCAATCAGAACGTATTCAAAAATAAAGCTTTCTCGTTCTTCGCCAAACAGTAATTCTACCTGCTTTCTTTCGAGAGGGCACACCAAAATGCATGAACTTCAGCTCACGCAAACCATCGCTCAGAAGATTACAGTATCCAGTGGTATTTTCGAACGCACTCGTAAATAATGTTCACGCGTTCACGCAAATAAATTTATGCTTCACAGTTTATAGGCTATAAACAGTCCCTGCTATGTTACGTTTTCATTTCTAATCATACTGCACATTATAAAATCGTTTTGGAATATATAAGTATTGTACTATACAGTGTTACAAAAAACTCAGAACTATATAGGCCGCTAACTGTTGACAAAACATTTTTCTTCTTTTTGGAATTGGAACACACCTCTGATGTCCTATAATCCCGAAAAAGCCACGAGAACATGTTGGCACTATGGGGAGGGTCATGTGCTTCACGGACATTAATCACTGTACTGTACTGAATAGTTATCAACTTGGGGAGTGGTACAATCGAGAATTCCTGAAATATGGAGCTTCAGAGGCGTAAATTTCTAGCCCGAACCAGCAATCCCCGCGCTGGAAAAAGGACCCAAACTATTCATTGAAGGCTACGTAAACCAATCACTAAAAATCCTCATCAACTGCAGAAATTCGAGGAGCCGGAATTCAAGGATGAAAATTCAGATACAAAATCTTGTTTTCTCAATCATGATGGCTCAACCGGAATCAACGATGTTGGCTGTCGCATGAGACTTTTCTGTCGCACCAGCTCTCTTGCGGAAGTGTGATGTTGATTATCATCAGTCATCGTCGATGAATATGCAAACGAGCTTGATATCGTCTTCTGCTTTTATTCATGAAATCAAGGAGTTTTCAACATACAAACCAGCGTAGCGTCAGGTCGTATTTCATAACTTTACAGCCACTTCATTCAACCTGTCCTCATGAGTGTGGCATACCGGATGTCTCATTGTACATACAGTATTTGAGTCTTTGAATCCCGAAGACCAAACCTTCCGTTTTCCGAGCTACAGTATCGCTACTTATCACGCCCAACTTCTTGATGCTAATAGGTTATTTCCTCCGTTCATCTCCCTTGAGCACAGGTTGAGAACCTCCGTCGAATTTGGTGAGGATCGACCGAGCATTCCGTGCTTCTTAAAAAAGGCCAGAAGCGTCGCGTACAGCAGCAACCATATTGAGAAGTGCCAGAACGCGAAGATCACACAATCAAACCCCCATGCAAAACGGAGAGAATTGTATTCATTCCATACGGACCACAATTTTGGTTTACAAGCTCCAGCTCTACCGGCCAACAACAAAAACATGCGGACAATCATCAGATAAAAAAATCATCGATATACAAATGTAAAATCTGCATTTCCGTCAGAAGATAAAATATGATTTGAACCGTACACATCTGCTTTTGAGATTAATGAATCTCGTTAAAAACGATCCTACACCAACGTCGAAAATCTTTCTGAATTGATAAATCAACCTTCCACTTTCATTTCCGGGAAGTTAAAGCATGAATTCAGGAGCCAAGACTCCGGCTAGTTTCCAGATGATCGCAGAATTGTATAAAAACCACCACTGCGCACATGAAAAATGATATAGCATCCGCCAAATATATTGCCTTGAGAGTAAATTATGATCCGAGTTCCCGTCACTTAGTCGTAAAAAGATCACTTTAATCGCGTTTTTGCGAATTAATTTGGCTATTCATCCTAGTCCTCTAAAATCATAAAATTGACCAAGTCGATGCGATCGTTAAAAAGAACCGCTCGAGTCGGAAACGCCACTTTCAGGAACGGATGGAATCTCCATTCATGGATTTTTCTAACATTCAATATTGGTGTTGAATGTGCAGCACGGACATTTAACCAAGCTTTTAGCGCGGGATAACATGACCTTTCTTGACCTCGTGTGGAGGCGGAAAGAGCATGAGATCTCGGCTTACAATGCAAGCTCCCATGCCCACCGGCAGCATTATGGAAAGAGATTCACTAACAAAGGCAACAATGTTTCCAATCGTTCCCGGATTTTGAGAACAATTCGGGCCGAAAACGTAGCCAAAAAAAAAAAAAAAAAACAATATCGTCTGAAAATTCGAATACGAATCCACGCCAGGATACTTGATCCCTCCTTTGCTTCACAATCCATACTGCACACGCATGCGGAACAATTCGATAGGGCAACCAGGAGTGCCAATGTTCAAAACCACGCGATCTATCTTTTATCCACGTCCCCCCTCATCAGACACTTGCAAGAAAGGTGAGTAGAAAATAAAACAAGAGAAACACAAATATTCCACGAAATATTCTATGAACCTAACAAGCGTCATCACGCCTCAACACTGGTCTTGAACTACTTCCGAGAACCAAACCTCATCCACATACCCCGATCACAGATCAGATTCGCGTCCCTAACAAGGATTCCAGAAAAGGGAAATTTATTAAAATCAACAACATAACGGGGCGCAACATCGGCCAGATTTGAGAAGTGGGCGAGAAAATCTACAGGAAGTGAAACCGAAGGTAGAACATCAAACTAGGGAACGAATTTGGAATGCTGCAATCAGCTGCGTACCAACAACATACGTACGAAACTCCGTATCAACCCGCGTTAAAATCGGCCTTTCATGAATAATGCACGGAAGTGAACCCCGACGATTTATTATCAGCTGGAGTGGACGCATACATATTCTTAACTTCGAATCATTCGCTCACCCCCCTTCAAAATCCTACCTGACCACGTCAATTAACCGATGCATATAAAATACTGTCGTTGAACACCGACGGGAAGCATTCAAAGGTACAAAACAAATTTTCTGTCCCTATTATCGACGGAGAATGTTAATATTGCTGATTGTACATGCCTTGGGGATGCTGAGTTTGCATCTGATTGGGGGCCATATTCATGTTTTGTCGCATATTCATCATCGTCGAAGGATTCTGAAACGAGAATTCAAAGATTACTTGAGTAACGATGCCTTCAGAAGGACGGTCGAAAACATTGAGATTATGTGGAGATATATGTCAAGTGAAACTATCATCTGATGACCAATTCTTCCAGTATCGCGAGTATTGAAACTTCAATCATCCGGGCTTTGATTAACGGTACCCAAAGTATAACTGAGGATATAACGAACCATGTTCACTTTTAACTTGAGCAGATTCATTTTCGTCCCACGGAATCATCTGAACCGATTATCCCAGCTAACGCACTTCACTATTCTGTAGAATGCTGGTAAAATTATGTCAAATACATATTTGACTAATTTAGTAATCCATTCATTAATATATTACTGTATTATCAAATACAGTACACAACAGTAATGTGTTCCAATATCCACGTAGAAGTACCTGGCCAACAGAGGGGCACGAGTTGAATAGTGGGGATATATTTTTTTCTGACAATACACGAAGGGGATCAAGAAAGTACACAAAATTTCTATCTCCTGAACGGCTGCGCAATAAAAAAAACCCAGACTGATGTTTATGAACTTCTTTACCGAATGAAAAACTCTATAGATCTACAGCAGTAAAACTGATACTTCAAAAACACGACCATAAAAAGGACTGATTATACTGAACCAGAAAAAAGGTTCATTTTCGAAAGGGATGAACTGTATTTTACAGATGATTCTAGTTCTTATTGAACATCAGAAACCATTGGAATTCACACGAAAATTAAACTCAACTCTAACCCAGCTAACCCCGCGAAGAATGCATGAGGCACATTTTTCTGAGAGGAAGCGATTTTTTTTCTCGCGAACGTCATAGTGGTTATAACAATGGGACTCATAACCGTAAAATTCTACAAAATCTGGAAGCTACAGTATTACAATGAAATTGAATGCTCAAGTTCACCTCGTATCGTTCAGAAGATATCCCAACTTAATATTATTCATTACTGATCCAACCAGTACTGTAGTACAGAAAGAAATTCATCAAAAGGCAATTTGAGTTGGACAGACATATACGGTAGCTCACGAGACAGCAACCATACAACTCGACTCATCCGAAGCAATGGAGTACCTGCTGAAATTGCATGTTTTGCTGATTCTGCATGCCACCTGCTCTAGGCCCGTACATTGCGGAGTTCGCCGCCCCGGACCCGGGACCCATTCCTTGAGCTGCTGGCATGTTCGTGTTTCCCGGCATACCATACGGCCTGAAAATAAGTAAATACGGTTTTGCATGGAAACAAAAGAAGTCAAAATTACGAAAGTTCAAACCTCGGAACTTGGTTGATGGGACCTCTAGGTTGCATAGGAGTTTGATTGGGGTTCCCTTGATTCACGAATCCGTGAGGGGCTTGTGGACGCATCATATTTGGATTTTGCGTCGGATATTGTTGCAAAGGAACGTTGAACTGTCCACTCGACATGTTTCCGGGTGGGTTTCCCCCAGAATTCCCAGGCCCTCCATTCCCAGGTATCATTTGCCCAGCGCCCGAATTCATGTCCATCATCCCTTGCTGTGCCCCACCTTGGGCAGGGTATCCACCAATATAATTAGTTTGACCCATTGCTGGAACGAAAAAAAAAAAGAAATTATGTGAAAATTCAAGATCAGCTTTGAAAATTTATGGAAAGCACTGGAATTTGAACTTGTACCTTGTTGAGAAGGCATTTGCGATCCGAACATCCCTCCTGGTCTTTGATTTCCAGGAGATGGCCTGCAACGAGATGTGAACATCGTATTCAAGATAACAATACTCAAAAATATTGTATCAGCCAACGAAATGCGTGTACATTTCGTCTAACTGACACAACTCATCAGGGTTGTATCACATGGAACTCGCGTACTGTTCAATTGAATACCTGTAAATAAGTTTTGACAGAAGTTCAAAACGATTCGCGCAGTTAGGCCTGCAAAAACATGAATATTTTTGGGAGTCATGGACATGAACTGTGCTAAAGGAAGTAGGGAACAGTTTGAAAGACGGAGGAAAGCGCTCAAGTCATCCCAACAATCCATTATTGCTCGGCGACTCTGAGAGGAAAAACAATGTTTTCTGGACCAGGACTGATCACTGACCGGCTTGCGCCTGGGACTTGGTGGTATCCTTGGAATAAGAATGAAAACATGAGGTTGTGTATCATTATTTTTTAATTGAGGGAGAGATGAGTAAAAAAAATAGTGTTATCCTCAGGAAAACGAAGGTTTCTCCAAATCGTCCCTTACATTGTATGTGAACAAAAATCACGCTAATAAACGTGCACTTGTTGGGAAGAATGATGGAAGAATCTTTCTGCCTTTGCTCTCCCCTATCGTTCTTCGACACATGTTTTTAAAATTAAATACAGCATACAGTGCTGCGGATAACTCGCGAAATATTCACTTTTTTGCTTGTCAAGCACGGCGTGAATCCATTCGTACTAAAACAACGATCAGGTATCACGCAGGAAATCAAGTAAATGACCTCATCATTTGTCCAGCTTGATTAGTAGTTTGCTGATTTTGCGCAGGTTGCATCACGGCTTGTTGAGCGGGAACCTGAGCATTCGGTCCACTCGAGGGTCCCATGGGAGTTGTGGGAACATTTGGGCGAATTTGACTCATGTTGCCCATGTTTTGTTGGGGATTCCCCATGGAATTTTGCTGGCCGGCGACGCCCATTGCATTTTGCTGACCCGCCACTCCCATGGTCCCTTGAACGTTCATCGCGTTTTGCGGTTGTACCATGGAGTTTTGCTGGTTTGGCACCATATTTCCTTGAACATACTGATTGTTGGGATGTTGCGCATTCGGATGTCGTTGGCGTAACATGTTTGAGATGGCTTGCTTCGATTGAGACATTGTCGGCTTTTCATAACGCGGTCCACCTGAGAGGAAACGATGTAAACGTGCTGATATACGTTTCATTAGTAAGGAGTGCACCCTTAATGTCAAGACAAAAAAAAAACAGAGTGAGGCACTGCTTTATTTTATGCTTCGTTAGATCTGGCGCACGAGAAAACCATTAATTTAAAGCAAAATTGTCTTCATACCCGGGGGCATCTGCTGGTAATACGGCTGGTTTGGTTGATTATAACCTTGCCAGTTCTGTTGTCCCCCACCGTACATCTGCTGAAAGCCAACTTGCTGATTGGGAATCTGAGGTTGTTGCGGTGGTTGTGCATTCGGAGGTGCTGGCGGCTGCAAAAAATAAGTCACGTACATTTTCAATGATTATTTGGCGAACACTAGAAATGCTTACCGGTGGTTGTACAACAGGAGGAGCGACAGTTGCGGAACCATTCACGCGAGGTTGTCTTTTCCGCTTCTGTGGTTTCCTAGCCGGAATAACTTGAGATGGCGGACCAGACACAACACCGTTACTCGCGGAAATAGCACCATTTTGATTCAAGGTGTTGGCAAGTTTTCCGCCGGGAGGACCTTGCGGATTCCCATTGCCCGGACCAGTGTGTTGCAGGTTGGGCAACGACGCACTTGACGGATTTGATCCTGGACGTGGGCGATCTCCGTAATTTACACCCTGCATGTCAGGTAATCCTGGCTTCTTCTCCGTTTTGAACATCTACAGTATCGGTAAAATCAATCTTCAGAGAATGCTACGAGTCGATCTTGGCGCACATCACAGCACTCATTACATTCACCACCCCAACCCCTTTTCTAAATACTGTACTGTACTTGTCATGAAGCTACGAACTCAAAACGGATAGCGAGACGATCTCTCTCCGGGTGGTCTGGTTTCCAACGTTGTCAGGAAATGAATGCTCGGTCGCATTAATTCTTTTTGATTCGTTAAACATATGCAGAAATGAATGCAAACAATTCGATTTGTCACACATTTCTAAGCCCTGCGTCAATCTTGCAGAAAATTAGAGAAAATGTCACGTAAAACTGCAAAAGGTATGCATGAATGGCGAGGGAAACTTACGCACGGGTCGACATGCGAAGAAAAAACCAAACTGCGTCTTCTATTTGATCTGATCATCTGAATACGTTAAGCAATCCGTTTTCGCGTGAAAATTCAAATTTGTGAGTTTACGCTGAGCGGAATCCAGATGACCCCATTCTCTCGTGAAACATCACTCACATCCCTATTTACCTTCTCTGGAGGAGGTTCGAGGTCTTCATCTTCAGCAGGGAGAGGCAAGGACTCCAAATAATACGAAGATGGTTTTAGTAGACTATGCGTGTGATACAGCAGCAAACGATGAGTATGCTGATAACGCAACACCTTCCTTTCCATTTTCGTGCCACGATACCAAGCCCACGCGACAGGACCTGGATTCTTTCCACCCTCGACGACATCCCACGGACTCACGCGTTGCTTCTCCGCCACTTGCAAACCCTTCAAATATACTCAACAAAATTATACCCATCTCCCGGAAGTATCGACATATACCTTACATGTTTCTTGTCCATGTCGTAGCCTTGAATGCGGTTTCCTTTTGTATCCGTCACGGTACCCATCGGTTCGCAAGTGACAATTTCAACCATTCTCTTCGACAACGGTAGAAGTTGGCGCACTAGATCTACACCTTCGGATTCTCGGTCAACAACCTCCTGAAATTTCAATCGAAGTAATGCAGATCCATTATACCGAGTTGACTAAATCAATTCAAATACGTCTGAAGTGCAACGAAAGCGTTCAACAATAGAACTCGGATTTTTCGGGCTAATAACCGGGTGCCGTTGCCCAAATAGTGAAACGTAACGTAATAACCGGAAAGCGCATCCAACAAGTGCGGCAAAATATTCAAAGACTACCTGACTAGATAATATTTACTTTATTGATATGAAGTTCGTTGGCCCGAAAAAATCGTTGAGCAGAGCTAAATAGCTGTTGAAATTAAAATTACCACGTACAATATAACTGGCTGCTCTTTCTCCTTTTGAGGGATCAAAATATGGGCACAATTAATCGGATTTATACTGAAGACCTCAATCTACACGCCGTGCTGAAATCTGCGTACCTTGCGAAGTCGCTTCACCACAGTCAAGTAGGCCTTGTTAGTTTCCGGATTAGAATGTTCGCTGGCGAGCGAGAAGCTGTCTCTGACTTGATCACGTTCTGGGACTAGCGTCAAATGAATTAAATTGGCAAGCATATCGATCACACTGTACAGATGGTCGCTGTTGTTATGGAAGTCAATAATCCCATTGCAAACAAGTTGCACAAACAACTGCGAGAACTCCATTGCCAACTGCGGATTGGAATGTATGGTAGGAAACAACCATCCGACAAGATTCAATCGCAGCAAGAGAGCATCGTGAACTTGCTGCCGAAGTCTAAGGTCAAATTGGAATAAACATTTTCGGTCCTTGTCCGTCTGAAGCGTAACGAAATATTGCAGTTCCCCATGCAGCGACGACAGAAGATTTTCCGCGTGAGTTTCATCTTTATCTAAAAAAGAAAAAGAAAATCCAAGTCGAATACTGTTGACCGAGAGGATACATAAAATTTTCAAATTAGCCCGTGAAAAGCTCATTATTAAATAAAATCTGGATTACACGCAATAGACCTCAGTTCAAATGGAGCAGCTCTTCAACAGTTGATAAAATTGAGCCCGATGCTTGAAAAGTCTTCCAGATAAACGTAATGTGCTTATTCGAGTACCACGCACTCCTACATGCGACGTGAACCAAAAAATCTGAAAATTCTCTATGAACCCCACAATGATTTTTAATTGTTCATGACTTCAACAAATTATTCTTCTTGCCAAACTTTTGGAGAAAAGGCGCAAATGGTACAAGCGTATACACGAGTGAAATAATTCAAGAATGAATACATTTCCAAACTTATGCAACAGATATTCATAGAAAATTCACCTCCTTTCAGACACATCCTGATTAAAGCCATGAAAGGAAACATGTGCTGAAGCAAACTGGCAGACGCAAGTGACGCAGCAGCTGAAGCGCTCGTAGGAGAGCTTCCGCCTCCAGCTCCAGGATTCGACGATTTATCCGCTCCGTGGTGGTTCATCTTGCCACTACGATCACGTTCCCTGTCACGGTCCCTCTCTCGATCTCGTTCCCGCTCACGTTCACGATCTCTCTCGCGATCACGTTCTCCGCTGACAGCCCTGGTTTCCTTCTCTTTCTCCTTTTCTTTCGAACGAATCCACCAATCACTGTTGTCGAGCAGATTCACTGAAAAATAACGGTCATTCAAAATGCATTGTCAACGAAGCAGTTCAAATTGAAAATTTTCTTTCCCTCTCTTCATGCTCTTTAAATGTATCCTAATGTCCATGCATTTCGACATAAATAAATAATGTACTCAGAATGACTTAATCATTGCTAAATCCACGGTCCAGCGCAGCATTTTTCCTTGTACAGTACTGTACATGGCTGCATTCTCACGCAAAATTTTTAAATTTTCTGCGATCTGAGGGGTTTCCCTACCCATCACTTCAAATCAAGGACTAATAATCGCGTAGATGCAGCCCTGTATAGCGTTATGCAACAAACCTGCTTGGCGAAGAACTTGTAGTTTGACTTGTGGAGGCAAACGGTCCACGAGCGACGGAATCAACCAAACGTTATCAACGTCGAGCTTGCTTCTTTCTCTTTTCCGCCTGAAACAAATGAAAATGAATGTTGACTCAAGGCATTAAATAAGAAATGCAGGCAGCATTCCGAATCAGCATTCCCGCAATGTCTTACGAGACCGAATTCCCAAAAGGCATTTCTTATATAAAAAAGAAGGATTGCAGTTCCTGAACAACCCCATCGCCATGATAAGCTGCAAAATAGTTCAGCGAAAAATGCTCAATTTACCTCACACTCCGCAAAATCAGTGCAAAGTTGTGAGAAACAATTTCAAACGCTAATTGAACTTTTAGTAGCAGGACAGGAACTAAAGCAAACAAATACGATACTGCATGAAGTGTAAAATTAATCTTCAGGTAGAAAAATAGCTTCGATCTCCGTCACGCTGAAATGCACAATACCTTGCATGGGGTTGACTAGCATCAAGAGGGGGAGTTACAGCCCTTAGGTCACGGTCGTCATTCCTCTGCTCCTTCGTACTCGATCGGTTACTGCGCTTCTTCTCAACGGATGGAGAATTGGACGTAGTATCCCGCGTTGGCAACGGATGTTGATGAAAAATGTCGATTATAGCTGAAGAGAGCGTTTCCGTCCATCGCCGCAGTTCTACATTATGTGAAGACTGCGCACACTGCTTGTACATGATAATGAGGTCAACAACCGCCGAGCGCAGATTCCATTGATCTATCGTCAACAGAACTCTATTAATGGCCTGCTTGTGATCAGACGGTGTGGTTGGAGGAGGGGTCTCCGGATGGCAGATCATGTGAAGAAGCCTTTGTGCCTGAGGAGAAGCAAGAATTATAGTAAACTGAGCGACCGACCTTGCTTATACGCAAAACACAACTTGGTAAAGTGATCCGAAAGATTAAATCTTTCTAATTGTGTGCATGCGGAACTCAATTCAATACGTTACCACTTGAGAATTAGTTCTAAAAGTGTGAAGTTTAGAAATATGCGATTGTTTTACCATACGTTCAGAATTACAATTAATTCCATGGTAAAATAAACAAAGAAGCAGGTAGGCAGGAGTTTGAGACAAGTTTTCCGCTACCTTCGGTGGAAAAAGCACGGGTGCACGCTTAAAAGAAACGTTACCTGAGCTGAGGTCAGCAATGTCGGGTCCAGGAGATCATCGTTGGATAGCAGATCATAAGCGAGAAATCGATCGCGCACCCACAGCTGGCTGCATATCTCGTTCAGCACATGTGCTGCAAACGACGCCAAGGATGCAGATTCCAGAAATCCTCCACGGCCATTATTTTTAATTCCACCTCTAGATATCAGAAAATAGGCCAAAAGGATGTGAATAATGAATGCTACTTTTTCGATTGTTTCAAGACATGACAGAAGTAAAAAACTAAACATTTCCATATAAATGCAACGTACGCTAAAGAATCGAAGTCGCAAACGGCCGGGCTTGGATCAGAGGTACCAAGAATATCACTTATCGTCGGTTCATTCAATCCAGACATGCCAACGGAGAATAGGCTCTTCCCTGAATCTCGCCAGCTCTTTGATTCAGTTGGTTTTTGTGTATCAGCGAGCAACAGCAAAGCCTGAAAAATTAAAATCAGGATTTTGAATTTCACACTTTCGTCTCAGAGAATTACGCATAATTGCTAACCTTTGTCACGGCCAAAATCGCTTCAACGACTGTGTTCATGTGTGCAGCAGAAAGTAAATGACGATCGCACGTCAGAAGGATGCTTCTAGTTTGAGGATTTCCGACTCCTGGACAATTCCGAAAAGAATTTCACCAAATTAGATATTTTATCACATAAAATCAGCTTACCAGGAATACTTGAAGGCAAATGAAGCTGCAAAGGACTTTCAACGGTCTTGAACAGCTTCAATATGAGATTGCACGTCAGGCGGGCACCGGAATCGTTTTCCGCTCCATTACGTCCTGGTGAAAATCAATACGGTCGCATGAGCATCTTAACGAAACTCTATCGTTCGTTTGCGTTACACACCTTCTTTCCAGGTTTTCATCAAACTCGGAATCGCAACATGCTTCAGAAAATCTTCAAGCTTAATTGCGTGCCGCCCGACCAGGATGGCAGTGAAGACTGCCAAGCTACTTTGAATGACTGGATCGGAAACATTCAAGGCATTTTGAACTTCCACATATGAAGGCTTCCCGCAGCACAGTGCTTTAAGAATTCCAAGCCATTCAGCAGATAAGAGAAAGCACATCGACGTAACTTCTGCACTCAGAATTGCTATATCATTCATCACTTCGTTCTCCGACGCATTGCATATCCTCATTACGGCGCAGCACACAAAATTGTAGCGGAGATGACCGTTGTCACGCATGCGCATGTGATGCAGTAAATTTTGGTCAACTTTTCTCTTCGGATTGTCGAACACATCCGACATGTAATCGGGATTCCACTTGTAATTCGACTGATTCGGAGATATAGAAGGTGATAAAAGCGCTCTGGCATCGTCCAAAAGCCGACATACGCTTGAATCAATACATCGTTGGAACATCCTCAATTCAGGACACGATGACTGAAGGTCATTCATCAGCCAAATTATGCACCGTTCGGAAGATCGACAAACGGCTGGATCTTGAATGTGACGAATCAATTTAGCCAGATGCTCAAAGGATGCAATAACAACTTCTGGCCAGACTGAAAATACACGGGGAAAACTTGAATTATATTCGGCGAAGGCCGTTTTTAAGAACACATACCCAACAAACTCGAATAATATCGCCTCAAAATTCCAACGATGTGGAGACTCAATGGCGAAACGTAGTATGCCGTCAAAGGAGAATTCCGCTTCGAAAGTTTCTCATCGACAGCGGGAAGCTCTTTCAGGATCTTTAAAACAAAATATTCATCAATGGTGTTAGCAACGCAAAATCAAAGAGTGACTAACCATGTTGCAAAGATCCAGTAGTCCACTAATATAAAGACACGATTCCATCAGTTGAGTGAGATGGGCTATGTGGTCTATCAGTGGCAAATAAACACCAGATCCCATGGAAAAACCACACAGCATTTCTATCACTGCCACTGTTCCAGCGAAAACAACTTGATACTGATCGAAGTACGAAAGAGAGTTAAACCGGGTGACTAACGCATCCCAGTTAAACTCCGATCTCCACAGCTTCTTCACTTTACCGCCTTGAAATTATTTCGATATCATTATTTTTGAATGTACAGTACTTAGGAAAATCGACCAATACCTTCTGAAACATCACTGCTGAATTTCTTGCTGAACAGTTTCGTAACCTCTCTCGTTATCTTTTTCACTTGGTGCCTGGCATCATCTCTCGATTTTCCAACACCGAACAATAGGATTCCACGTTGATTTCCTTCGTGGGAACCCAAAATACTGTTGCTGTCCTCTTGTGGAAGAGGGAAATGAGTCGCATACAGCAAGTGGCGAGGCGTCATGTCCCTATCTTGTTTCTGTGAGTGATTTAACAGGCTCCGGGGAACACTGCCCGGAGAACCGTGATCCGGAGCCACCAAACTCGGCGGCATCGACAACAGGGAGCTTTTCAGATGAGTATCCTCCCTGGTTGGAGAATCCGGATTTTCCTGCATCAGATGAAAATGGAATAAATTTATCTGCGAGAACCAACCCAGAAAACGATTCAATTTTTATTTTAAAAATGTTTCATGAGAGAAATTAAAAAAAAGGGGGGGGGGGGGGCAAAAAAGAGGGCGAAACCCCCGAGAAAAAAAAAGGGGGGGGGAGCAAAAAAGAGTGCGAAACCACCGAGATACTTCAAACGAAACGACAAAAATTACTGTAAGCAAAATATTCATACTTCCAGAAGCAGCGAGGATTTAAATAAATTTCGCTCGGTCTTGGATGCACATGGATGCAAACGATATAAGAAAAACACAATTAATGTTTAAAAAAAAAGACTACAAATTATTTACCATATCCATTCGTTCGATGATCCGATTGATGTCGTGTCTCGCATCATCAAACTCCATAGCAATGCCTCCACTTCCACGATGACCATCATCAAAGAAAGATGACGAAGGCACTTTTTCATTACCAAGTGATCCGATGGCATTCTGACCACTTGAAAACGGAACTTTGGCGGCCTGTCCCAGTCCCAGACTATCGGCCAGTCCGACCTTCGAGTCGGCAGGAGTGCCGTTAGCATTTGGTAGGCCGAGGTTGAGTCCAACCCCTAAACTCAAGTCCAGATTTGCACATTCGCCACCGCGCTTCGTATCTCCTCCTGACTCGGAATTTCCAACGGGGAACTTTTCATTTCCACTCGGGGCTGATGCCAAAGCAGCGGCAGCCGGGAGATCGCCCCGAGAAATCAACATACACATGTATATGTCGTGCGAAAACACCTCGCAACGGACCAGTTCGTAAAATAAAGAAACCAGATTCGCAAATTCCGCTTTGTTCGACGGCGTGGCGTTGTTATCTGTAGAAAAATAAACGGAGATGAGCGATCGTTGAAGATGCGAATTTTCAACAACACGAATTACCTATCACGGGAGCTTTCTGATCCAAAAATCGGAAGAGGAGCTCTTGAAATATGGGAACCTGATTCTGTGACTGTTGTGATGGGGTAGCACCTGGCGTCTCACAAAGCGCAATTGGGGATTCGATTCCCAAATTACCCAGTCCAACTTCAGTCACCGACGGTGCTTCCAGATTGGAAAGAAGACATAGCTGGCGCCTTTCTAATAGTCTGGCTACGATGAGCGGTCGATGTTCACCCCAACGCCGTACGCTTACAGCCCATTCACATAAGGCGACCAAGATACACTCGTCCCAACTTATTCCATCGTCAAGCCCGAACTGTTGACAAAACGTGGTACAGTATTTGATGAGGTATTGCACATCGCGCAAAAACCCATTTGCATTGGCCACTGGCGAACTTACCTCAGGAAAAGTAGTTCCAGCTTCCTGATCTCTATAAACATTGTCGTACAACGTGTCGAAGGAGTTGAGGCAGTTGATTAGATCGAAGCAATGTCGATCCAACGCGTCCATAGTTTTCGTAACACGATAGATGATGGCACCTGAAAAAATTAAATGAGTACGTCATTGCGTACTGAACACGACGAATTGGGATATTACCTTTGCGTTGCGCATCAACTGCATCATTTCCCCAGCGGTTTTCGGCAGTGATACTTCGTCGTCGGATCAAGTCTTCGGCGAAGCGTAATTCCTCTCTGTTGAATACATAGGATACGAAGAGACGATTATAGCTTTTAAAGATATTGTACTGCATTCAAACTGACTAACCGTAAAGAATCTAAGGTAGGTCGAGCCGGAAGAGGAAGCGAAGATGGTGGAACGGGCAAGAAATCCAAAGGAGATCCGCTGAAGGGAGAATTAGGTATTCTGGTACGCCCGAAAAAATTCCACACCATCGCAGTATGGCACTCCAACGTCACGGTCTGAAAAATTATGTTACCATAAGAAAACCACGAAAGGATTTCTACTCAGAAAATCGCTCCTGGAAATATTCCTTCATCGGGAAATTCACATAATTTTCGCCAAGTTCAATACCTGTATAACTGTACAGAGCGACAGGAAGGTACGTCGGTGATATGAACAAGTCGACAAATCAGACAAAGATGCCGCAAAATTCGTCAAATTTCCAAGACGGATGGCTGCAGCACTTTCTTCAGTTGTTTTCGTCGATACGGCGGTACCGCCACCATGACTGCGAAAATTAGATAAATTAAGAGAAAATACAGATGCGAAAATTTCACTCTTCACTCACCCATTGACAGGAGCGAACGTCTCACCAACTTCCGAATCGAAGTTCTGAAGTGACACCTCATTATCACTCACCATGTCCATTAAGCGTTGAGCTGCCCAAAAAGCCAACTTTCTCGAGATCAACTCCGAAAGAGTAATTTCGTGTATGAACTGAAGAACCAACGGCAGTGAAAATTCCAGCGATGGATCATCCCAGCCTCTCGTTTTCTCAACAAGATCCACCAACCAGGCGATACTATCTTGTCGATCCATCAAACCAGCCTAAAAAATTGGTTCAATGGTTTTCATATTCTTCGTGATTTTACAAATTACTGTGGGAAAATTCGAAAAAAAAAAAATGCTTCCCAGACGAACTTCTTACCTGATACAGATAACCCAAAAGTTGGCACGAGTATTTCCACTGCTTTACCAACGATTCGAAGTCTCCAGGTGGAGACTGAGGCCGAGCTAAACAACTTTGCAAGCTGTTCACAGTAGACCCACCAAGTATATTGGACTGCCCCATCACACCACTCATCGTCCCGGACGTAGGAGTTCCGGGTCCGGAATGTAGGAGGGGAGCTGGACTTTGGCCTTGGTGATGATGTGACGACATGCTGGAACCTGTGATTCCGCTGGATAATCCTTGGGAATCAAGAATCTTCACCAAAATGTCACGCAAGAAGCGCAAGATTGTCGACGTCCACTCTGGGGAAGATGTCCGTAAATGCCAGTAAATTACACCCTTCTTGACAACTCAACAATACCATAAATTAAATGCAAGCCTAACCTTGAGATGGATCCGGAGGTTGACGCTTTTTGTTCCGAACCTCAGATATAGCTGAGGTCATTTTTATGAACCATGCTGCGCGTTGAAGGGGAACAGAAAATTCATTCAGCTTCCAGAATATTTCTTCTTTCTTGTTGAATGATGGAACCTGCGAATAAGGAACATTATATTTATTGCACTTTTCCTGATGTCATTCGTCATACCCTCTTCGCCAACAGGCTAAGTGACTTGTTTTCTGACAAGTCTTTGAACCAGGCATCAGATACCTGCTTCGACTTGGCGGTAACCGGAGAAAACGTGTCCACTTTGGTGTTGATTTGAGGTCGTTTATTTCTCCCTGGGTCACTGAAGGTATTAAGATCCTTCTTTTTGCTGACGACGGAATTGAAAAACGACGAAATCTGGGCACCAATAACAAATTTAGATTAAACCTAACATTCACGACGGAAGTGTGAAGAAATATCCGTACTTTCGACGGCAGAATTGTCTGATGGCGTGCCGTCCCATATTCATCTTGCGGTGGAATTTGCGGCGCATACTTGAAACCATGCTTCAAATTATCACCAGTGAGTTCGTCCTTAAATAAGAGAAATCGTATAAATGACGGCTCTCGGCAACAAAATTTTGAATCCATGAGATAATATTCAAGAAAATGCATTATCAGAACCTCTTTCTGCTTCGGATCTTGCGGATAAACGTCTGGAGGCCCCAAGGATCGCTTGATCGCACGCTTTTCTGGGCCGATCATGGCCATCATCAAGCATAAACAAGATTGATGCACCTTGCCCAGAGCATCGCGGACTTAGTGCATATGAAAGACTTGAGCACCCCATTCACAGATATACAAGGGCTCGATGATAATAAAACACACACTGCAGCGCATTTTCAACATCAACCTACACAAGAGAGTTAGGTAACAACGAACGTTCAACACCATAGGAGTGAACAGGTTCAAGATTTCGCTTTCGAACGCTTCAAGCGAGTAAGAAGTCTCTGTTCACGAGCTAGAGCAGGAGACATACCTATTTCGCGGAGGAAATCACGCGCGTATAGTCGAACACCAGAATTGATGCGAACGTTGAAAGAGCAAAGAAATATTTTAACCACGTTCAGGAGAATCTCACACAGCGAGCAGACCTCGCGGGCCATTCGTGCATAACTCTTTCAATCGAGAAAGCTGCATTCCGTACACCTTGATACGGATGTGAAGTAAAATATGACAGCTATCATGAACACACACGGAAGGCCACCACAGCGACGCCAAACGAACAGATCCGAGCATGATCAGCAAGCAAGAGCAAGGAGCTAAGTGACCATTCCTAATACAAATTAAATTTACAAGAGAGTAATTTGGATAAAAAGCGAAGTTGGAAAGAATACGGAAGGCCAGCTCGATCATGCGCCGTGAAATTACACCAACGGTTGGACTAACGCAACATAAATTCGGCAAAGATCTGCCCAAAATCAACGAGAACTCGAAATCACAAAATTCACGACGCACTTCACGCACACAAGATAATCGCCTTCACTGGTTCAAGCGTATCAGGCGACGGAGATAGGAAATCATCCCAATGGAAAGAAGCATTCCAGCAACTGGCGGCATCCATGGCGGATCCGAGCCCATGGCAAAGCACTAGTTCCGTTGCTCAGGTTGAGCTCTCCCGTTGTATGCTTCCACGTAATGTCAAAATTTGTAATGCATTTACTGTACTGTACTGTACTGGGAAATTGAATTGACTGGATG